ACCTAGGAGTTCCATTTGCATGTTTATTTACATGCCTGATTTTAAACATTCCCCTGCCTGATCTTTGAAGATTTAAGCGCGTTTTCCTAATTTCTGCGCGGGAGGTTGACACTTGTCCTGGTGGGAGTTGTTTGAAGGCTTTCTAGGGCTTTGGAAAATTATGGGTATACAAAGGTTGCACCCTTATAAGTGAATCCCTCTCATACCATTTTGCATCATCGAGCTCTACGTGCTGCTGTGGACAACTTCTGCGTTCAGCAGGGGCCTGAGCTTCCTATAGGAGGAACCTCAATGCAGGATTGCCCGTAGATGTGTTTAAATTGGTAAAGCCCCACTTTATAAGATTCAGTGAGGCACCTCCCGAGCCCAGATTTGTCTGTACAACAACAAACATACTCTAATGCACCGTATTGCTACCGTGGCAGTAGACTGTCTTCTGGAAATGCGGGCCGTCCGCCCAATGAAGTCCTCGTCCGAAAAGCATGAGAAGTCTTGGTCCATGAGTATAAGGAATGCAAAATTTCAGGTTTTCAAGTTGTATAAAAGGCTTAATGGGAACCATTGCATAGAGAAGCCAGGGCACTTAATGCATTCAGGACGAATCCATTCTGCAGCTGCAGCTGCATGTCACGCCTCATGCAATTAGCTAAAGGTTCACAACTTCCTTTCTTAAAGCAGCAACCTTACAAATTACTGCTGGCAAGTTTCTGAAGGTGAAGCTGCATATGCAGCTTCGGCTTGACCCTGTAAAGCGCATAGCCACAGCGACTGCAGAGAGTTGCAAGGGCAGTGTACCCTTCCTTGGTGCTCACTAGCTGTAATCCGGATCGGGGGAATTATCTGCGAAGAGAGGTCCTATAACCACATTAATAATTATGACTAGGATCTGTCATATCAAAGCCGTAGCCCACCAAGATCGTAGCTGCAGCCGATGGAATCCAGACTCCATGCTGATGAAGACCCCAAAAGAATTTGTTTGTGCTTTTCAAGGTCCATCCGAGAACATTGAAAAGGTCTCGTTTCTCCATAGCCTTCAAGGGGGATGTTCATATGCAACTACGTATACCATTATACTGGGAATGATTACTTATATATGAAACCTATGCAGAAGAACCGGAAACATATGGGGGCTTTCTCTACCAAGATTCAATGCGATCCCCATCCGCCCTTCTCACGAAGTCGTCCAACCAGATAAGGAGAGCAATGGTATCAAAGCCTTTCCCTGTTCCAGAGGGGTACTGGGCTAGCCTAGCACGAATCCATATACAGTACAGGGAATACACGATCATAGGCTTTGGGGTCTCTAATCCTAAACCCTAAATCCTACACCCTAAACCATAATAACCCACTACCATCATCAAAAGCTAATGCTCTCAAGGTCTGGGATCGACTCCATCTTGAATTTCTTCAAGGACAAACCTGTCAGGCTTGTTGTCCGGTTGTTCGCCCGGCACCATTCTGTAAAATCTAGGTAAAGCTCAGCCAGCTTCGCATTGATAGACCGGCCACGCGCCAGTCCAAGATGACAAAGAAGGATACAGGTTGATGTTGCCATAGACGACCCAAATCCTTGGATCGCATAGGTATGGGCCGGGTCAATCTTGATTCTCCACCAGTTTTCACCTCCAGGGATATCACGTAGAGGACTTCTTTTGGCATTCCAGGGATGCGGCACACGCTGCTGGGGTGTCCAACTGGAACGGATCGCAGAACTCGGGGCAGCATTGTACCAGTCCTTCCGCAATTATGCATGTGGGATTAATTACTAGTTGTATAGGGTTTGGGGTGGAGGTCTGAGTATTTGGGGGTGGCATTTCGGAACCCATGCTGCAGTCCTGTTGATTGCATAAATGACAAATTCGTTTGGAACTCCAACCAGGATACAAAGCATAGGCCTTTCGAAGCCAAACCCAATCTCCTTTGCCACCCAGACAAGCAAAGAAGAACTTGTATGATTTCTCCTCGTAGTGTACCTAACACTGACCGCGCTTTCAGTGGAAATGAACTATATACTTATGAGTTCAATCGTAGAGCTAAAAGGACAATTCTAATGGTGTTGCTTTCTAGCCAGCATGCCTCCAGTCCATCTTCAAATAGGGATTTGCAGTCGGCAGCCAAGCATTCCAGCAGACCGAAAATGCTCTTGTCATTCTTGGCATAGCACTGGGAAGGAAAGACGGAGAACAATAGACGACTGCAAAAGCTGTGCCTTACATCCCATTGCATGTGGTTGTACATGTAGATCTACAGGATTAATTCTCTCAAAAAAACACAGGATGTGATAGCCAGCACGCCCCGAAGTATTGAGACGGTGGCTTCCGTAATGCGAAAGGATGCCTTGAAACGAAATCGTCAGGAGAGGTTGCTTGTTCCTCCCGCGGCCCTCGTCGCCATGCGTCAGGAACGGCAGGGTATTATTCAATTTCTCCGGATAGGCAAAGATGGGGTGAGTTGGATCCATCAACCTATACCTTGTCCAGAACTCCCCAAGCTCTTGCTGCCACGCGGGTTCATCAGAAAGGTTGTGGCCACCCAGAAGCATTTCACCTCCTCGCCCTAGAGCGTAGCTTGCCCATGCTGAAAGTTTCAAGATTGGCCAGTACACTTCTCGTTCCACTCTAGTTCTATGATGGCGGATCCATAACAAAGTAGTAGATATATGTACCGGTAGGCACCAACCATCACGCGCAAGCATTCTGTGAAGGTTGCGACAGGGGTTACCATTGGAGCTTTTCCCACATTTGGCGATTCTAGATAGCAGTGGATCCCGATCACCTAGCAGGGAAAATGCACCTAGCTACCTAGGATTGTCAAATATAATTGCATACGTTGTATATACTTCAGGGTTCCGAGTCAACAGCTTTCAATTCTATGGAGGGAGCCTTGGGATCCCACATGCATATAGCTTTTATAACACCAACCTTTTTTCTCAAATTTCTTGGCCACTGCCCGCGCCAAGCGAATCACCCGAGCACATGAATCAGCCTTAGACTGTTTCCACATATAGGTTCAGGGTTTATAGCTTTCGGGTTTGAGGTTTCGGGTTTAAGTTTTCGGGTTTAAGGTTTTAGATTCATAGGGTTTAGGGTTTATAAGGGTTTAGGAATAGGCTTGGCAGGATAGGTTTAAAAAATAAGGATTGCCCACATGTTGTTTGGCAAGCTACCCCGCCGCTAATCCCACGCATCAGCTCCTCGACGAAGTCATGATCGCTGCTGGAATCGGTATCCTCTTCAGGCACGCCTGGGTCAGGGAAGGATTCAGGGTATAGGGTTTAGGGTTTAGGGATAGTCACGGCAGCACATGCTGTCCAAGGGACCATAAGCCCATTCGGATTGGACACCTGCGCAGACAACATATAGTGGAAAGACCATGCTCATTCTAAAAATGTGTTGCTTTGCCAAATTTAATTTATCCTGGCCAAAGGCATGAGACTTTTCCGTTTCCAGCACCAATCAGTTGGAGTTTCTTATCATCCACGACGTACACGTGGCACCATCCAAAACGTGATTGTCCACTGGCCCTATGCCAACTTGATACAATTGGCCTGGCATTCCCATGCGTCACAATCACGCGTGACTTTGCAGTAAGCAGCCACAGCCATGTACATGCTTCACTCACTCCTCTTCGGGAGCAGGGCGCTTCTTGGACTTAGGTGGGCTTGGCTTCTTTGCTTTGGCTTTGTTTTTCGCCTTGGCCTTTGCCTTGGCTTTTGCTTTGGGGGCAGCTTTTGCACCCGGACGGATCA